TTACGCCTCTTCACCTGAACACGCTCATGGACGGCCCAATTCCTCTCCGCCGGAGAGGCGCACGTCCATGTGTGCGACAAGCGAATGGCGATGCTCTGAAGGAGAGGGACCCTGTCCCCGTGCTGAACCCACCACTGCCCCACCTGTGACGTCTCCTTCTCCCCTTTGCCTGTCTCTTATACACATCTAGATGTGTAAAAAAAAGTGTGCCAATGCAGGGTTACCTGACCGAACGTTCGAGGGCCCCCGGCCCGGCCCCCGAACGTTCGGGCGTTCTTGGTCCCGTTCGGGGGCGGAACACCTCCAGGTTTGGCCCCCTCAAAAAATAATTTTGGGGCCTAAAACTAAGTTTTGTTTTCTGAAGTTTTTTTTGCGAGTTCTCTGTGATGTAACCTACACGCTTATACATTTTGACGCCATTCTGCTAAGCCCAAAAAACATAAAAAATCGTCAAAGATGGGGGTGTCAAAACGTGCTCGCCCACTTAGTGTTTTGTATTTTTTTCACTTTTAACTTTTTGTTTTCACTTTATTTCGGGGCCTAAAACATTTTATTATTTTTTGAAACTTTTTTAATGAGTTATTGATTATGTAAACTACATATCTGTAAAGTTTCAGGGCATTTGTCAACGCCCAAAAATAATTAAAAATCGCCAAAGATGGCAGTGTCGAAAAGGTGCTGGCACACTCACTCATTTTAATTCTTTTTTTTTTTTTTTTTTTTTTTTATCATAGTGTTTATTTTCTGTATTTGATTTTTAATTCAAATTTGGTAAAGAATTTGGATGTAGTTGTTTAGTTTATTTTTCTTCATAACAATGTTTTTTTTCGGAATTGTTTGAAAACTCCTTTTTTTTTTTTTTTTTTTTTTTTTTGGTCCGCGTTCAGCTTGAACGGCCGAACGCCTTCCGAAGGGGTCCCGTACGTTCGGGCATTCGGGTTCGGGCGTTCGGCCCGTCCCGAATGCTGGCAACCCTGTGCCAGTGTATATTTCTATGTTCTAGCGGTAGATTTATTCGATTTTGCGCATCCCCCTCCCCCAACCACCCGAGCCCCTCGCAGACTCGAACCCGTCGGCGATTTTTTTTTTTCCCTCTTTTTTCAACGACAATTTTTTTAAAAATACTATGGGGCCCCTTGAGACCCCCCCAACCATCCCTGGGGGTAAACCTTCCCCCTGTTACCCCTCCACTAAGCCCAGGTACATCCGGACGGGGCCCGTCCGTATGACCGTACGCTCGTTCGTACGTCCGTACGCACGGGCCGTACGCAAACCCCCCGTACGATGTACGGGGACTACACCGGTAGCGCCGAGGCGCCTCGGTATTATCCGGTGGTTGGAGGGTGAGGGCCAAGTGGAGGTTGGCGATCGTCTGATCGAAGAAGCATTACGCCGTTTTATCTCCAAGGGTAACGGAGATAGGAGAGCGAGACTCAGAGGTAGTTAGACGAGCTCCCTCAACCACACGAGGGTAAATAAAGTTTCTTTGCGAGTCAGAGTCCCATAAAGCGTGGTACACCCTCATAGATGTCCCCAGGCAAATGAAAATGATATGGAGGGTGCGATAAGGGTCTGAGAGCAGGGCGAGAAGACGACGCAAAATGTTTACGTGTCTCATAAGTCGCTCCTAACAAGCCTGAATAATGCTAAAATCTATGAGGGAGGATACAACATCCTTGCATGTCGCCAATTGAGCACTACAGCGAGTTGTGCGAATGACGCGACACATCGGAAGTTTAAGAGGGGATGGACTAGATGCGACGGTTTGTTGTGGGGCAACTGATACCTTGACTGATGGTGGAGTAGAGAGAACAACGTCTGTCGTATCCTGAGGAACCTATGAATGGTAGCCAAAGGGGCAAACAACGACTCAGTGATCAGGAAGTTGGCTACGTGTGAGACCTCAACGGTACACTGCACCGTGGCTAGCTGGGTGAGACTGGTCAGGCGGGGCTGGGGGGGGACTGAGATCAGCGCAGACGAGAAATGTCATCATAGTGTCGATCAAGGGTGGCATGGTATGGACACCATGAGGCGGTGTGTCCATCCAAGTGGCAACAATGACAACCGCGACGGGCCTCAGGGGTGGCGCGCTCCTCAGGGGATAGGGCTCCGCGAGGAGGGACGAAACCATGCGGGAGGTCCGCCTCATGAACAACGAATGCATGGGCGTCAACCTGTGTAAGATGACTGTGAGCACGGTCCATGGCAGACATAGCCATCCGCAAGCGGTCGGTCATCGGGAAAGTCTTATCATCCAAGTGGTGCTAGAGGACATCCCGAAGCTCGAGGTCCTAAGCGGAGTCCCCAAGGGTAGGGTTGACCTCTGCCGTAGAGTCGTCCCTATACTCGAGGGAACTGTAACGCCGAGAGAATGACGCTCAAGGCTGAGCTGAGCGGTGAAATTGGCCGACGAAAGAGGAACGACCTGGAGTGGTACCGCGTGACTAGTGGTGGCCGCGGGTCGCGAAGAGGACGGGGTGTCGGAGAAGCGACTCCTCATCCTTTAGTACTTTGGAGAAGCCTTGTAGGCCCGCTCTGTGGATGCGAAGGTCTGCCACCAGAGCTTGATGCGGTAGTCAGTCAGAAGAATGACAAGGAACCGGTCAGTGAGAATGACCTCTGGCAAGAATGTCTCATTACAGGTAAGGTGAGCGTCCTAGAACACCCGGATGTGACGCTCCAGATCTGCCGGTGCGGAGGACCCAGGCCATCAGGTCTAGGTGACCCGATCTAAGGCGTTGGTTATATCGTGTCGAGCACCATAGTGGTCCTGGAGAAGGGCCGTGAGGTCCGCAAAAGTGGGAACCTCATCTATACGGGCGAGATAGGTATAATAACTATCCCACGCAGTGAAAGGGCCGCCTCACAACTTAGTTGTGAGCGAAAAGCACCACAACTCCCGACTAGTGTGTGTCAGCGTCAACGTGCGCGTGGCTGTCTGCAACCAATGCGACAGGCGAAGTATGTCATCGTAGTGGGGTACATCAGACAGACACACAAAGGTGGGGTCACCGTACTGACGACGAGGGGAGAGAGGTTGAAATCCCTTCACTACGACGACAACTTGAAATGTCGTGGCCGGTGCAGGGGTGAAAGTGAAGATAAGTTGTGGGTCATGGCTGTCGGTGGAAGGTCCAGCAGAGGTGGAGGCAACGACCACATGCAGCTGTGACGATGTGACGAGGTAGGAGGGTAGAGGCGGAGGAGCAAGTAAAGCGAGCCTGCAAGACCGAAGTGGGAGGGGCGGTGAAGGAAGATGAAGGGTGAGCAGCCTGTGAAGGGTGAGGCTGTTTCAAGGTGAGTATCACCGTCCGTATCTGCATCATGATGACCTGCAAGGTAGCCACTCGCTGGGTGCACGGGGTCGGAGGTGGAGGAGTCTGAGAGGGTACCCTAGCAGGGGGGGGAGTGACAAACAGTAAGGTGTTGTGAGGTGGGAGTGAGGAGACGGGGGGAGGAGGTTGAACTCCAAGCCGTAATGTCATGACCGGTGCTGAAAGTTGGGAAGCGTATGTCGGATATACCTTACTACGATGACACACTTTGCATGTCACATTGGTGGGGCCACTATGCGGACGACTAGGGAATAGAGACTGAGATGTCTGCACTGAGGTGGCAAATGTTGGGGCCGGTGCAGGGGTGGACGTGAAGACAAGTTGTGGGTCGTAGCTACTAGCGGAAGGTCTAGCAGAGGTGGAGGCAACAACCGCAGACAGTTGTGACGGAGTGGCGAGGTAGGAGGGTAGAGGCGGAGGAGTAGGTCGAGAGAAGCGCGCCTGCAAGACCGAAGTGGGAAGGGCAATGAAGGAAGATGAAGGGTGAGCAGCCAATGAAGGGTGATGTTGTCTCAAGGTAAGTATTTCCGCTTGTAGCTGAGTCATGGTGGCCTGCAAGGTAGCCACTCACTCGGTGCGCGAGGTCGGACGTGGAGGAGTCGGAGAGCGTACCCTAGTAGGTGTCGGGCGTGATTTTCGGGTGGTTGGGTGTCGAGTGGTTGGGTGTCGGGTGGCCGGGGGAGTCGGGCTGAAAAAAAAAAAAAAA